CCCCCCCCCCAAGGAGGAACCCCCTAAAAATTTTAGGGGGGCCAAAAAGTAGCTCCCTTTGACCTAGAAATATCCCCCAAGTTTCAAATCTTTACCTCAATTAGGTAAAAAGTTAGAGGGGGTAGAAGGGACTTTGGGATCACCCTGTATAAAGACTTATCCCATTTATAGTAGTGCAGCTGAGTTGCTTTAATTTCAACTGATCACGCTGAAATCACCTGCCTGGCAAGTGATAAAAATGTACCTTATTCATACAGTTGATGCTCTCTAATTCAAAGCCATTTGATTCAGAATGCTTGATAATTTAGAAAAGGTGGTCTCTAGAGGAAAGTTTCAATACTTTCTTTAAAAAAGCATGGATTTTTCATGTCACCCCCCCCCCCCCCCAAGACCCTGGTTTCCCTTGTCAAATGATAAAGTCTGTCTATTTATCCAAAAATAAAACTAACTTATTCGTTTTGCATCTGTCAGGTACAGAGACCCCTCCTTTTTTTAGAGAAGAACGTTTAATTTTTTATTAATTTTTCTTATTGGCCAGGTCAGGTATCGTAACTTAACAGTTACGCAATAATCTCCAACTAGGGCTTGTATGACTGCGATGAGGCAATTACAAGTCAGAGAATGTGACTATTACATCATAGTTTTGCTAACGTAAACGTTACATAATCACTCCTATAGATGTTTCAGCGATCCTTTTTGGAAGTCAAGGGGTACTCAACCTATCACTATTTTCCCAGCACATGTCTGAAATTTGGATGCTCTTCCAAACCTCACCTCTTATGGTACGCCTAAAAATGTTTTACCCTATCTTTCCAAGTCTGCCTGAGTTTGACTGCAAACTACTGTCTTCTTAGCACGGTCTGTTCTCTTCTTTAGCACGCTTGAGTTTGGATGTCATTTCCTTCTTACTGCTTTAGGACGGATGGTATAAACTAGCATACAAGATGCCTGACCAGTTAGGGTTTTTTCTTCAACTAATCTTAGCTACCCTCTCACAGATGATAATTTCACAAGGCACGATGCAAGTCCAGATTTCTGAGAAAGCCTTCAATCACTAACAAGGGGAACTTCCCAAGTTGCCACCTCCGATTGGGCTGAAAAAATTTGTACGAACTCTTTGGATGAATCCATTTGACCTGTGCTTTCTTATTTTTTCCAATGCGCCCTGGAAACACCCCAAAAAAGTTCCGAAGTCTTGTTTTGAGCGCTCAAGTCTATATACGCAGATTAGCAGCATTCTTCCCATATCAGGTGGTGGCTCTGCGGTAGAGCGCTTGCCTTGTAAGCGGGTGGCCCAGGTTCGATCTCCGGGCGAGGCGACTACTTTTTACGATCGAATTTTATATTCTCACACATTTTCTGCAACAGCACTTCACATCGAATCGCATTTACAAATTGATCAATGATCAAAAACTTCTTCGATTAGAAGTACAGATTCTTGTTTTTTTCTGTTGTGCGCGCGATTATGTCGCCAATCACTGTTCTTTCACATTAGTCGCCAACCCCTCCCCCTCCCCCTTACACCAACATATTTTACCTCATCAGCCGTATGCGTCATGATTTTTCGAAAACGACGACGAGCAAAATCATTACCCATACGGGATAGATGTTTCAGTAAAAATATGTGTGTGTGAGGGGGAGGGGGCGGGTCGGCAGCTAATGTGAAAGAGCAGTGATTGGCGAGTTAATGGCGCGCATAACAGAAAAAAAAAACAAGAAAAAAAAAACAAACAGTTGTACTTCTAATTGAAGAAGTTATTGATCATTGATTAATTTGTGTTTGGTAATGGTTGTAATTTAATTGATGTTTTAAGTTCCCATGTTAAATGTGATTCGATGTGAAGTGCTGTTGCTGAAAATGTGTGAGAATATAAAATTCGATCGTGAAAAGTGGTTGCCTCGATCGAACCCGGGACCGCCCGCTTACAAGGCAAGGGCTCTAGCAAAGAGTCACCGCCTGATATGGAAAGAGTGTTCCTGAATTGCGTATATAGACTTGAGCCCTCAAAACAAGACTTTTCCGAATTTTCTTGGGTTGTTTCCAAAGCGCACTGGAAAAAACAAAAAAACACAGGTCCAATAGATTCATCCAAGGAGTTCGTACGAATTTTTTCAGCTCGATCGGAGGCGGCAACTTGGGGAGTTCCTTTTGTAAGTTTATTACGGTTTTTTTGTGTCTGAAAGGGACAATAACATTATCGTACCTTGGTGTCAAGTTAGGCTTACTTTCAGCTGTTAAATCCAAAATGGACCTTGATTCTTTTTCCATCACCGACCAGTATCCCAAAAAATCGAATTTTCCAAAAAAAAACAAAAAAAAAACACACATTTCTGGTATCAAGAGAAAGCAATAAGGTTGCTTCAGGGCTCAACAGCAAAAAGAAGGTGGGAGTAGCTCCACCTGCTCAAAATATGTAAATTTTCTGCTCCTATAGATGCAAAACAAACAGATCATTGGTGCATGGTGGTAACTCGGCAGTTTGTCATCTGACCGGAAAAACCTCATTATAAGGCACAGCTGGGAAAACAGTTTTGGAATGCTATACATGTTATTTTATGTATTTTTGGCTGCTGAGTATAAGAATGATCTTGGTCTATTTTCAGTCATGCACTTATTACCTAGCAAAGTACATATTTTGGTGTGGAAAATGCAGATCTTTAATTAAAGTGGTAAGAATAGGGAAGAAACTCAGGCCATTTTTGGATTCAACGTTTAACATTGGAACATTACACCGTAATCACCTACCAAATACCCAGTATTCTAGAATTCATTTATTAATTTATTTTAAAACCTATATAATTAAATATCTGGAAAATCATACACTTTCTGAAATAAAATGATTTCTCCTTGTTACTAGAACAGGTGCTTGTAAAAAAATAGACTGAATGATTAATCTAAATACAATACCTACATTTCCCAATAATATTGTCAACAAAACCGATCACAACTCGAAATTCTAAGAACTTGCGTAAATGCTGGGTCTGTAAAATAAAAAGCACAATTAAATCAACCCTTATAATATAATCATATAAGAGTTTCGCATAATGCTAACGGTGCCTAACCTATCGGTAATCTAATGATGGGCATGTCCCCTGCCCATTCCACTGCATCACCCTTCCCTGTCAACGCTGCGCTTACTTAATCCGCTACTCTTTTCTTACTTCACCCCCAATTTTCCTTTCTCTTTCTCTCAATTCTACCTTACCCATTCACTTCCTATCCTTCATTTCACTTCTTCAGTGATTCCAGTGATCTTGCAGTGATTCGAAAATATTTTTATAAGATTGTTTTCTTTCTCACAGTAAATTATCAGCATTATTGACTCCCTCAATAATCTTGAACATATTATTCTTCATGAAGCACTCTTTACAAAAATGTTTTCTTTTTTAATGAAAAGTATCATTATTATGGACTTCCTCGAGAATTCTGAGCATACATTATTGATTTCTTAAAATTTAATCTCCTTCCATTGTTTGGAAAATCTTTTTGGCCATCGAAAGGATTTATTCCCTGCTTATTCTTTTTAAATTCACTCACATGGGGCAAAGCAGACCTTACAGGTTGCTAAGTACACTTGGGAGGTTGGGTCGCGTAACCCCCTAGTATCTAAATTAAAGAATGATAAAAGATACTACGTTAGTGACCAGCGATTGACGTCAAGGCTGTAAGGTTAAAGCACCAACTTTTGAAGTCTGAATTTATAGAGATGGCAAAGCTTTCCGATTTTTTTATAAATCAAACGAACCCAGCGAGTCGATTGTTAAATTGTTATCAAATGAACTTGATCGATAAACCCTTTCTTGGCAATGTTATTTATCAATCCAAATCATTCGATAACGATTCAACAATCCAAGTGCTACTATGGGAGGGAGAAAAAGGAGGAGACAGTAATTAAAATAGTATGGTAACATTTCACACACACTAAAACCTGTGATTCTAACTTCATTTTTCTTTACAAACTAACTTTCTTCAAAATACAGTGCTTACAAGTTTTGAGAAGGCAGCAAGAACGGTCAGCTTCTCTCGATTGTTCCCTTGATAGAAAGCAACTTCTTCAGAATTAGCAATTAGCCTGGAATTGATGTATCGAAATTCTCCCTCTAATTTCTGCTCAATAACAGTCATTCGACCAGCTGGTCGCCTGAGATATGTTAAAAATGAGCCAGAAACTACAAGGTATCCAAGCATTAAAAAAGGTGTCTGAAAACAGAAAAAAAAATTTAATTTCACATTAGGGGAATACGAGTCAGTCTTTTTAAAGCTTCGAATGTAAACCAATTTTAAGGTATATGTGATACTTGGTAGCAAGTTTTTCTTTGAAATGTAGGTACAACATAGTAGAGTGTTCCAAAAAAAAGTCGACCCCCGAAAACTTATGTTTTATCGTTTAAAAAGTGTTCAATTTGGTTGGAAAACACTTTATTATTTAACTTCATTATATAACTTAATCATAGTATACAGGGTGATCCAAAAGTCCCTTCCACCCCCTGTAACTTTTTACCTAATTGAGGTAAAGATTTGAATCTTGGGGGATGCTCCTAGGTCATAGGGAGCTACTTTTTGGCCCCCCTAAAATTTTCAGGGGGCTCCCCTTGGGGGGGGGGGGCAACGGACCCCAACTTTTAATTTTCAAATGGGAAGACCCCCTTTGTGATAGATCGTTCGACAGAAAATTGCCACCTCGGTTTTTTGTGATGGATTTGCCTAAAACTCGGAACTTGAGGGTATTATGGGATAAGATTGACACATTAGAACTTAGATTTCTTAAAAAAAAGATTTTCGATCATTTTGAACTTTAACCGGCGGCCATTTTGGAATTTTCGGTTTTTTTGAAAATCAAATGTCAAATACGTTTTTCTCGTGTCAAAATACCTCTAGATACCGATTTTCACGCAAATCCATCGACAAATAACCGGTGTGAATTTTCGGCCATTTTGAACTTCAACCGGCCGCCATTTTTAAACGGTTTGAGATATTGACTTCGGGTTTGCGCGAAAAGTTTTCTTTTTTTATGCTCTTTCGAACGAGCTATCACAAAGGGGGTCTTCCCATTTGGAAATTAAAAGTTGGGGTCCGTTGCCCCCCAACGGGAGCCCCCCTGAAAATTTTAGGGGGCCCAAGAAGTAGGTCCCTATGACCTAGGAGCATCCCCCAAGTTTCAAATCTTTACCTCAAGGTAAAAAGTTAGAGGGGGTGGAAGGAACTTTTGGATCACCCTGTATATTACCTATATATTTTGTAAATAGATAGGGTCGGTTCTTCAACCCACCCACTAAAATATTGTATATAGTCTAAGTTAACATAATTAGGATTGATAATTCTCTGTAGTCACCAAAGACATAAAGACGGAGTGCTCGTATCTAAAAGCACGGGGAAAAAGTGAAGCCTGGTTTGGCGCTGGGTGCTTGTGTGAGTGTGTAATTGAGCGCGGGAATCCATGGCAGTAAACGGAAATTTGATTTGAACTTGTCCTCTTGATTTTTTCACATTTATTTTTCGAAACGTATTTTAAATGCCTAAAACGAATATAAACAGAAAGTTGGGACTGCGTCCTAATAGAATAAACCTACTTTTGCTCGGTAACAGGCAGTAATCTCAGATAAAGTTAGTTTTTCTTCTGCTCATGGTGGTTCTGCCGGTTAAAACAGGCCGTTACAGTCGTAGATGACCGTTACTCCCAAATGAAATTAATCGATCGACGACCGACCAAAACTAACCTAAAGTTATAAAAATATGAGTGTGTAAGTGAATTTGGGCAAACATCAACCTTAAATACTTTGTTTCCGCAATTTTATTAAGTGCCCGTCCTACATTTGAATTTCAAACGTGTCCCGATTTCGCCGCCAATCCTCTAGCCAATAGTAGAGGTGATTGAAAAGAAGCTTCATTTTTTTGCTTTTAGCGCTCCGTCTTTATGTCTTTGGTAGTCACCTATTTTAATTCGTAAGAAGAAGAAAAAAAACTTCTGGCCACGTTTTAGATTTTTAGGTGAAGTTTAAGTGCTGCCGCATCGAACATTTGTGAAATTTTCAGTCCCGAAAATTGAGATTTTTTACGATTTGGCAATTTTTTTTTATGGATTTTTTTTTAAGTCACGCTTGAGCCCTAAAAATTTGAGATAGTAGGCTCCTAACATGCTCCTTTTGATATAAATTAAACATTTTGGCGTGAAAGATCCGGAAGTATTTTTAAAAATTCGGAAACTTGGCCAAAAACGCTACTCCGGCGCAAATTACACAGAAATCGGCGATTTGACTAATTTTTTAAAGTTTGAAGAAATAATGCGGGCGCCGTAAAAATTTGAGGGAGTTGACTCCTAATACCATTGTTTTAGTAAAAAATAATAGTTTTGGTCTGAGCGACACGGAAGTATTTAAAAAAAAAAAATTCGAAATCGCCCGAAAACTTCATATCCGGCTCAAATATCCTTTGAATCACTGCTTTCCATGCTCTTCAAAGGACGTGGAAAACAATTCGCTGATAATACTGAGATAAAAAGTTTAAATAAAAAAATGAATATAAACCGAAAAATTAAGCAAAAAGTGTTAGGAGATTGGACTGGTCTAATTTTTACAATATAAGAATCATTTTCACCTACACAACTGATTTATTATGATCAGAATTATACGACACAATATTTAAAGAATATCAACATTGGTATGAAACTAATTATCACTGTAAGTGCATTTCGATGCAAAGAAGCAATTAAATGTGAAAAGAAATGAAAAAGTTCTGACAAGTTTATGAAAGTTATGACATTATACCTCCTATATTGTGATAGATCTGCGGAGGAATAGATCAAATATTACTGAGTCAGATATTTTCTAGGGGATGATTCAATGGTTTTTATTTTTATTCATTTATTTTTTTTTGAAGGAATTTATTTAAATATAACGTAACTACTACAAGTATTTCCTTGTATCTATCTACATGATTTAAAACTAAAACTAAACGAGCCAACATTCTATGACTGTTTCAAAGCATCAATTGTATTTTTTAAACAATTAATCAAACATTTTACTTTGAGACTAGGTGGTGGGTGGAATAACTACCTATGACAACATGTATAAAATCAACATTTTTTACGTGGGTTATGAAATATTATTCAAAAACGCACAACAGGTCACTCTCAGGGTATAACCAATTACAAAAAATGCTCTTGCAGTTTTTCTACGGCGCAAAATCAGCGACACATCGAATAATCAAAACTTCAAATGCGATTTTCTTACACCTATGTATGTTTTCCGCTGTTGGTGGTGATTCCAGCTATGACCTCTATTATGTATCTAACAAAATATAAGAACTTGCGAAACCGCTTAAATGTGTCCCTACATTCCAAGAAACGATACGTGGATAGGTATGAGTTCTGTTGCTCTTACTTGACTTTACTATCTACCTGCTAAGAAAATTCCATCCCCAACAACTGGAAACAACTTTAAGTGAATTCACAGATCTGTGGTCAGTCAATCTAGTTTAAGACAATGAACACCATCACAACGGTCTATTCAACCTCCAGCAATTCTTATAACTTCCAGCAAATCAAATTACATAGGTAATTAAATGAAGGAATTCAGAGTCTATCAAAACTATTGCCGAGCGGACTAATACTTACGGTTGGACGCGTCTGTGATTTGGTAAGATATCCTTAAAAAAACACAGCTGTCATTCAATTTGTAAAAGTTGGAATGTAGAAAGCTTGTTCTAGCTACTACTTATGAATTAAAAAATAAAAACTATGGCATGCTTGATCTGTACCTGAAAGCCCAAGTGTGTTGTTAGCCTGTAAACGTAAATAATGATGTCCAAAAATGGCTTGCAAACATTGGAGTAAAGGTCTGCAAACATTTCGCAGAACTTATCAACATCCGTTGTTAATAACTGATCTGCATTTGCAATCCGATTATCTAGGTTGGACATTTTATAATAGGTGAAACCCCTGGAAAAGATAAAAAGATATAATATACCAAAAATTATGAGTTGCTGTTATATTTGCTAAGACATAAAAGTATTTAACCGAAATATTTATGTTGGAGGATCCTGTACACTCCATATACAGGTTTAGCCTAGTCACTTACCAGCACAGTGACTTTTTTCGTAATTGACATAGATATTTGAAACTTCAGAGACCTTCCTAGGTCTAAAAAAGCAACTTTTTGGTCCTCCCATTTCGGGGGGGCGGCCCCCTCTACAGAGGTCGGGGGTAACTTTACTTTTCAAATGGCAACCCCCCCCCCCACTTTATGACACCCCCTTCAAAAGATAATACCCAAAGAAAAATTTTAAAATCGCGGGTCAAAATGGCGGCCGGTCAAAGTTCAAATTAACGGAAATTTGGCATTTCCGTTTTTGTCGACGGATTGGGATGAAACTCAGTCTTCGGCGGTTTTTCGGGACGAGAAAAACGATTCTGGCATTTGCTTTCCAGGAATTTCAGTCCTTTTTAAAATGGCGATCTAGAGCGGCAAGTGGATAATTAGGCCGCTTACCTGTGGATTTGCATGAAACTTAGTATCCTGGGGTATTTCGGAACAAGTGAGAGGAATCTTTCATTGAATTTTTAAAATTCTGAAAAACTCCAACATAGCGGCGGAGAAATGGCGGGAGCTTGGTATTACGGACGTTTACTGATGGATTCGCATGAAACTCGGCCGCCGTTTTGAAGTTGGTGTTACAAAAATTTAATGCAAAAGAGTAATTTTTTCGGAACACGAACAACCGGAGTAGAGTACCTTCATAGGCAGAGTACGGACAATTCAAAAATTTAGAGGTTGGGTTTGATCAGGTAATGTAGCTCTTGGGGTACAAAAGGGCAGCCAAACGATGGATTCAAATTATCCTGAGGTAGGTACTAGTTTTCACAATTCTTACTACCCATCGTAGGCACGCTGATTAAAAATTAAAAAAGCACCTATAAGACATTGCTTTCGCATGAATTTTCTGTTTCAAAGTCTTAATCTTTAAAGACGTTTGTTTACAATGCGCTGTGGGCCATATTGATCAATCTTTCAAATACATAGGTTGGCAGCGGCACTTTTCTAGTGACTTTCGTTTCGTTCATCGCCCTATTGGGCCCTAAGAGCTCCATAAATCGAGTTGTCCATACTCTCCCTATAACCAGAGTAGGTGCTCTAAACCAGGGCACCCACTTTTATGGGAATCTGTCGGTAAACGTCCCTAATACCAAGTTCCCGTCATTTTTCTACCGCCACATTGTAGGTTTTTAGGAATTTACATTACAGAGCACAACCCTGACTTCCTGCAACCATTAAATCCTCAATACAACAAATGCACGTTTTTGCACCTCTTTTTTTTCACACCATAAGAATGAGAGAAGCTTGCCGGCCCAGCTCCTCCTTATTTACTTGGGTTGATGCAAAGCGCGCGGTCCCCCCTCTCCCCGTCATCGTAAGAGTAGCTTAAAATGAGCATTTAATGGAGGTTGCTTGCGTGATACAGCAAGATTGACTAATCACACTTAAGGTAATGAGACCTGTGAGTAGAGTATCCAATAGAGAACACCTTTTTCTTCATACCATATGTATGAGCAAAGCTCGCTGTCCAGCCCGCCCCTCCTTCTTTTTTTTTACTGAACTCTGATCGAAGAATATTTTTCAAGATAGTTCAACTTGGGGATCGCGAACGAATGATCGCTTCTCAAGAGAAATTCGTATGTTGTATATACTCTTCTTCAAAAACATCTGATTAATACTAATCAACTGCTACGGTTCGAGCTTTTTTTCAAGAATCTACGGCGCGACAACAACATTAAGCCTCAGTAGCAGGGATTTGAGCTTGCTCCCACCTAGTAGAAGTTCACTGGTGAAGCATACATAAAAACGAGAGAATTACCAATGCTTAATTAAGAAGGCCCACCGAGTGCCGACCGACCGGCCACTCAGTGGGCCTCTAAAGTAGCGCTACAGAAAGAAAGTGAATTTTTAGAAGCATCTGTAGTTCTCGAACTCAGCGACCTTCAAGAGTCCCTAAAAATGAATTTTGTACAGTTTGAACGTTTACTCTGATTTATTTACACCCAAATCCGGCTTTGGAACCATATTTTGGCGCGCGAAAATCGGTCGGCGCGCGTTGAGTTGAAACTTCAATCGTCCATAACTCTCGAACCCTTTGGTTCTGCAACTTAATGGACCACTCGTGGGATGCGGAAAAAGACAAACAATTTAAAGAACTGGTTTTGGTTCAAAAAAACAAAAAAAAAAAATTGAGTACTTTATAAGTTCTTTGTTTAAAAGAAATTTTCTCGACCCAAAAACTGAAAAAAAAAACACATACAGGGTTATTCAAAAGTCACGCACCACTGGCCAAAACTGTAATCCTAATTAAGATATCGATTTGCGGTTAGTGACGTTTTTCCTCATATTGAGAGGGAAATTTGTTAAGGTACTTTCCAGTTTTTGATCCCCTCAGGGCAAGGGGAGCGCAGTGCAACTAAAAAATTTCAAACCGCCACCCCCCTCATGGCCAGTGGTAGGTGACTTTTGAATAACCCTGTAGGTTATCTTGAAATGTGATTTCGGGATTTTGACCTTTAAAATCCTAAAGTGTGCAATTTCAGACAATTTTTCGTCCAAAACCCGACCTCCATATCTTTCTTATTTCGAGAGATATCGAGGTTCATAGATTCTGACTCCTCCCCCCCCCCCCCCCTAGCGCTGTCCCAACATTGTTTAGGGGTCTGAAAATTTGGGAAAAGAAGCGCTCAAGTATAAGTACTCAATAGACAAAGTTTGAAGAAATCCCAGGAGGGGGGGGGGCGAAAAAAGCCGTTTTTACAGCAAGCTCTTTCAAATACAAAATTTAAAGCTACAGAATTAATTTTGAGACATAAATATATTGTGAAAAAGCAAGTATAATAGACAATATTGGATATTTGCAAAGATAGAAAAGTTAATAATTTAAAAAAAAGAAAATTTAAGATTGAAAGATTTAAAACTTACTTTAAATAATCAGTATATAGATGATGAGTCAGGCGCGTTCTTAATCGAAGCTTGAGTTCTCCAATACTCCACTAACACAAAGAAGAAAGAAGATAAATTAAAAAAATGAATGAATACATGTGTGATGATTTACAATTGGTTATTACTTATGTTAGTTTTAATGGATTGACGTGAAGTTAGGAGATGACTGGCTTTTGTAACACTCTCTTTCTCAAGGGCCTCATCAAATTTACTTATAAAGAACTCAGCAATATGGACCAGATAGAAGGAAATTAATGCAATAAACTATGATTTGACACAGGCACATAAAGTATTTTCAGTTTTGATAGTGACTGAACATTCTCTGTGGATGAAGTTGGGAAAACTTAGAGTTTCTTATTGACATCATTTATTAAAATTAAGGCTGGGCCATTGTAGTTCTTCAGCTTTGAATCAAATCAACTCAAAACAAAAGAAAAAAAAAATTGTTTTATTAGATTTGTGGCTGTTGAGCCTTCTGAATCGGTGTATGTATAAACATCAGATGTCGATTGAGATACAATGATTTTAAAAAAAAACCGGCGCTCCGCTTCGCTTCGAGCCGGTTTTTGGGGGGCTTCGCCCCCCCCCCCAAGCCCGCCAGGACGCGCGCTTCGCGCGCGTCTTTTCAGGGTCGTCTGCACATCTGGTTTTTCTTATTTTTAAGTGTCCCGCGCATCCACCGCGGAAAGGAAGTGTATTTCCCGAAGTAGGATTTTTGTAGTAATAAAATTGTACGTCTGTAAGTCATTGTGTAATCGATAGTTTTTTTCCAGATATTTCCTTTCCTTGGGCCGCTGTGCCACGAACAGTTCTTCCAAAAACTTTCTTCACCTGACCCACTAAATGACACGCAGTTTGTCCAAAATCTTCCTTCCCCTGAACCACTGAGCGACAAAAAGCTTGTTCAGAAACTTCTTCCCCTGACCCACTGTGCGACGAAAATTTTGTCCAAAAACTTCCTCCCCCTGACCCACTGTGCGACGAAAATTTTGTCAAAAAACTTCCTCCCCCTGACCCACTGTGCGACGAAAATTTTGTCCAAAAACTTCTTCCCCCTGACCCACTGTGCGACGATCAGCTTTCCGAAATACTTTCTCCCCCGACCCACTGTGCGGCCCTGCTCCGGCCGGCTCCCCTCATGCCGCGCACCCCCCGCCTAAGACTTTCAGAGTTCGCCATTTTTAAACGGCTCAGCCGATTTAGCTCAAATTCAATACCAAACCAGTCCTAGGGGAGAACTACCACCCATAAAAGTTTCAGCTCAAAATATTCATTTTCGCTCGAGTTATCGAGTGGACAAGATTTAACCTCCCCCACTTTCGAGCCCCTCAAAATCTATTGCCTCAAATTTCAATTTTTTTTTTTTGCAGAATAGTAGTTCTAATGAGTCTCTACTAAATGCAAAAAAATTGGTCAAAATATCTTTCAACGTAAGAAAGATATAACTACTCAAAAATCGAAAAATCTTAAAAAGGCGGAAATTGTTGAGGTTTAATGAAATTGATGAAATATAACGCAAGATTTTGCAAACCTGTACGATGCATGTATTATATTACTCATGACTTGGTCAACTGAGCCAGAGACTTAGCGATAAGATGAAGCTCTCTCTCTAGTTCTAATTTTCTCTTGTAGGCAGTCCCCTTCTGCACTTGTACGCACGATGTCATAGACTAAGCCTTATTTCCATCGATATATACTCTGTACTATCTAACGAGGTGTTATTTTTTAATTATCCCTAATACCTTAACAGGTTATGGGCCCAGAGTGAACGTGACCATCATGTGAAAAACAATCGTGCGGAAAAATCTCGAGAACGACGAAAATTTTAGTCAAAAATTACGGGCGACATAGTGCCAACGGGCGACAAAGTGCCAACGGGCAACAAAGAGCCAACTTCGGGCAACAACGTGCCAACTAATTCGACGAAAAATTTAACGTTCGTTTTTGTGATAAAAATTTCGGGCAACAAAGTTTTCGGCCAACGAAATTTTTCGGTCAACACAGTGACAACTAAATTGAAATTTTTCGGTCAACACAGTGACAACTAAATTGAAATTTTTTCGGTCAACACAGTGACAACTAAATTGAACTTTTCGGTCAACACAGTGACAACTAAATTGAACTTTTCGGTCAACACAGTGACAACTAAATCAAAGTTTACGTGAAACTAAATTTCCTGAAGAAATACTGTATTTTCTGGGCAAAATCGGTGCCAATCAATTTATCGGTGCGCATCAATACGCAAAACAAAAATGTCTGAATCGCACGAATATCAGTTATTAGACATGCGGGCCGTGGATAAACTCAAAGGAAAATCAAACTATGAACTTTGGAAGTTTCAAGTGCAAATCCTTCTGGAAGAAAAAGGCGCGCTGAAAATCGCAACTGGAGAGGACCCTAAACCTGCAGCAACTGACAGACCAGATGACACGAAGTCACAGGAAGCCTGGACAAAGAAGGACGTCATCGGTAAAAGAATCATCTTTACAACACTCGAGAAGACCATCATGCCATCCATCATGTCGTGCAACTCCTCAGCTGAAATGTGGGTTCGTTTGTAAAATTTGTATGGTAGGAACCAAGAGGAACAAAAGCAAGAGTTAATCAGAGAATTTTTCAGCATTAAATTTGAAAGAGGCACGCCTATGACTCAACATGTGAGTAAAATTCAAAATATCTTTGCTCAACTTAAAGCTGTTGATCAAACAGTTAGTGATGAGATGCTCATGTCAAAAATTTTAACTACACTCCCGGAAAGTATGGAAAGCTTTGTAACATCATGGGATGTATTGTCCATTAATGAGAAAACGGTCGAGAGATTAGTCTCCGAACTTCTTTTGGCAGAGGAAAGATTAAAAACATCGAAAGAGTCTGGCGTGGCTTTTTCAACTAGTTCATCCTTAAGCTGTTATCGGTGCCATCAAGTCGGGCATTTAAAACGCAATTGTACAACAGTGTTAAAATGTGAAAATTGTGGTAAAGGTCACCTGACCCAATACTGCAGAAACAAGAAAGGTGAAAACAGTACAAATACTTGTAGTATTTGTAATAAGGGAAACCATTCAACTGACAAATGTTGGCATAATAAGGCCAATCAAAAAGGTAATGCAAAGAAAAATATGCAAAATTCCACGGGCGAAAAAGGGGTAGCATTTTCTCTTAATAAAATAAAGACCGATGGTGTGGAGTCTGATGAGTGGATTGTTGATAGCGGAGCCACGAGCCATCTCACGAATAATTTAACTGACTTGAGTGACGTAAAGAATGCCAACATCGAAATCGGTGTTGCGAAAAAGGGTAATAGTCTAAACATAACAAAAATTGGCCAAGTGTGCGCCGATGAGTGCTCGCTAACAAAAGTTCTATTCTCAGACGAAGCAGCAGGGAATCTTTTGTCAGTGAAGGCAATAACTGAAAAAGGTGGAACAGTTCTTTTTACAGAAAATGAAGTGTTAATCTCCAAAGATAACGTTGAAGTTCTTAGAGGAGAAAAAGGAGATAACGGGTTATATACAATAAAATTGCATCCTAAAATCATCGATAAAGCTCTTTCAGCAAATGTTGTAAATGATGCATGGATGTGGCATAAGCGATTGGGGCATATAGGTGCTCAAAATATGTGTAAACTTTTAAAATTGAGCGAAGGAATGAATTTACAGAAACAGCAGGTAATTGAAACTATTAAAAATTGTGAAGTCTGTATTCTCGCGAAGCAGACCAGATTACCATTTGAAAATGATAGGCATAAGGCTAGCCGACCTCTTGAAATAATTCACAGTGATGTGTGCTATGTAAGCCCACCAACCTGGGACAATAAACAGTACTTTGTAACTTTTGAGGATGATTTTTCAGATTTTGTCCAAATTTACTTGCTAGCAAGCAAGTTTGGCTGATCGCGTCATTCCCGGGTGCTCGGGTTCACCTGACCCTCAAACCTACAATGAGGCATTAGCTTCTCCAGAACAGCATAAGTGGCAAGCTGCCATTGATGCTGAAACAGCAGCGTTGAAAGATAATAAAACTTGGGTTTTAGTCAACAAGAATGAAGCTAAAATTTCAAAAATTCTCTCAAGTAAATGGGTGTTTAGAACCAAAGAGGATGGTACTAAAAAGGCCAGACTCGTAGTACGGGGATTTGAGCAAGGAGACATTGATTACGGGGAAATATTCAGCCCTGTTGCCAGCATTAGTTCTATCAGAACACTTTTGGTATTAGCCGTTGAGCGTGATATGAACATCGCCAAATTTGACATTAAATCAGCTTTTATTAACGCGGAGCTTCAAGAAAGTGTTTTTATGTACATTCCGCAAGGCTTTGAAAAATCTGGCATTAAGGGGGTGTGTTGAGGTTTAATGAAATTGATGAAATATAACGCAAGATTTTGCAAACCTGTACGATTCATGTATTATATTACTCATGACTTGGTCAACTGAGCCAGAGACTCAGCGATAAGATGCGATTAAACCGAAAATTTATACAGTTCTTCATAAGACCAAAATGGACAAAATTGCAAAATTTGAAGAAGCTAACATAAATCTAACGATAGTTATCGTGAACGAAAGAATTGCTGACATAGGTCGGGTAACTATTATAGGTGGGATACCACTTATGATAAAATGTTTTTTTTCCTAAAAAATGTATCCATAGTTATCAATTTTCTACTTTAAAAATTTAAAAACAGCTGCTAATTTTTAGACTTACTGTGAAACCTGTTTTAACCAATTTTAACAGATATTTTCTGCTGTCCCATGGATTTGCTACTGCAAAGGCGTGTAAAAGAACCTGTCCATAGAAGAACTTATCTGGTGCAGAAAGGGAAAGCTTTCTCAGCGAATTTTTTTTATTTTGGATGGAAAATGAAATTGCAAACCACGAAAAACATGGTGAAATTGGTAACAAGGCGAAGGAAAGTGTCAAGTAAAATATATTTTTTGATTTCAAGTGTTTTAAAGAACTTAAAGTTTACAATTCTTCAACATTAGAATTATGAGTTTTTTTTTTTTTTTTAAATTAATACATGTTTGCAATCTGTGTAATTTTAGAGAACTTTTAATGATCAGTACTTTTATTAGAAACAGAAATGAACCATCAAGTATAACTCCATCAAATATCTTGCATTATTGAAGAGTTTTCCGTATAAGGGCGTTTATGCAAGGTACTCTTTTTTGAGTAAAACACATAGGAAGTTTTCATTTCAAAACCACTATCTCAAGGATGGGGCAAATTGAAACCATCCTCTTTTTGTCAACATATTTGGGACTGCAAATTGACCAAAACGTTGATTGCAAACTGCTTGGAGTCCTCTTAACATGGGAAAATGTCAGCACTAATACGCCCTTCTACCGGCAATCTACTAGAAAGACCCCGCACACCTCTTATGGGAAGCTGCACCATGACGGATTGCCTTCTGACTTATGTCATTCAATTCTCCTCAAGATGCTGATCAAAAGTTATAATTGCGTCAACTTTCTACGATGCACCGTTTTCGCAAAAAACCTAGGAGAAGATTCAATTATTTGGCGACTATGAATAAAACAGAACAAAGCATTTGAGGACAGGCCCGATGTAAATAAGGAAACGTAGCGCGTGTCCGTGTTCTTATCTGTACCTGCTGACTCAGGGGCTATCTCCCTCCCGCACTCGCCCGGTAGATGTTCAGACTTTCCTGTTCTTATGCTCCTCAAGAATCTGTTTTGGATGGTCGAGCAAAACGGCGAGCGGAATACAAGATAAGACTGCCGCTCAGTGAGGGAGTTCCCCTGATTTGTTCACTCGAGTACTGAAATGAGGAATCTTTCTGGCTTTTTATCGCCGAATAATTGAATCTTCTCTTAGGTTTCTTGCGAAAACGGTGCATCGTAGAAAGTTGGCACAATTATAACTTTTGATCAGCATCTTGAGGAGAATCGAATGACATAAGTCAGAAGGCATTCTGTCATGGTGCAGCTTCCCATAAGAGGTGTGTGGGGTCCTTTCTTCGGAAAAGCCTGTCGAACGATCTTGTAATGTTTCTTTCCATTCTTAGCCTTTCCCTATGTTACTGATTGGTTAAATCAGTATTCTGGATGGTCGGATTTGACTGTAGTTTATTGTAAGGAAGTGCAAATGAAGTGGTAAGGAAGAAGTTTCTGGAAAATGTTGTATTTTTTCTCCTCGTCATTTTTGATGATTATGATCGCCCTAATAAAAAGTTTCAAGGTACCGAAAGAAGAAAAAATATATTTTTGGATAGATCATACGTACATGATGAGAAATTTCGACTGACAAGTCTAGCTTAAGCCTGCAATGACATTCTTCAATACATTATTCAGCCAATGCTGGTCCTCTTTTGCAAGGCCTTCTTAAATACCTTACCATGTACACAAAATGCATAGGTGGTAGCACTATTGTTTTTTCGCAGCAAAAATGACATTGTGTAAGATACTTGCAAGGGCTGTGTCTTGAAGTTCTTTGCTTTTTATCACGGAAAAAACTTTCCAATTTTTCCTGCTGGACTAGGTGTTTTTGAAATTTTTGTCCTACACTGTTTTGAGCAGCAACCGGCATTAACTCGAGCAAATTTTTACTGGACATTCATTCTCCAAACCACGTGCCAGCAAATGCATTTTACTATAATCTTTTCACTCGCACCAAGTCTTTCCTTCGAATTCAAATCATTTATAAGACCTTCTGAGGTCGTTTACGCTGCAAAGAGTCATGGAAGAGTCACTAAACCTGAAGTCTCTTTATGAGTGTGATATATGTATAACTACTCACATCAATGGTCTGATTGTTACAAATTATAACATTTTCCCGAATATACTGACAACAATTGCAGTGGGATATGGACGATATGGTGATCATGCTATGAGCAATCTAACATTAATCAAATAACAGCGATGCGCCGAAGCGCACGTCCACCAGGTAAAGGCAGAAGGGACAACAAAAATGTCATTGTATGTTGATAGTCTCTCCACTTACCTTAATTCTGCATACAACGCATTGGATAATTCCTGATCAACATGTTTTACAGGTAAAACACTGCATTAATTGCTACTTACAGATGAAAAAATCTGAATTGCCAGTAGAAGGGCGTTTTACATTTTGACCTGTAGCACCTCACAGAATCATCGGTTAATCATAAAAATTTGTGGATATGTCCTCTAGGATAAGTAGATATTAAGTCACTGATTGCCAAAAAAAGGCGCATGACGCAATTCGCCCTACTCCGGGCATACTCTCCAATTAGGGTAAGATTGACAATTGCCAATTTCTTCAATTTTCCATCTTTCTTCTAAAGTCTTAGAGACATACTAAACATATTTATGACAGAGCAGTCAATCTACAAAAAGCAAGGTTTACACTGTAGGCCGCAGATAGAGAAGTGTCGCATGAATGCATCCATTTGTGCACTTGATTATTAATTACTTATTTTTTATCGAATTTACTTAATTTTTACTTCATTTAACATCGTTTAAACAAGAGGTAGATAAAAAACAAAAGAAACTTATCTTATGCTTACTTTTAGGACGTTGTTCACTACGGAAATCTGAAACAGCGGAAAAGAAACATTAGAGGGAAGCAATACTTAAGTTTTAGTTACCAGAACACCTAGGTTTGCCAAACAACCCCTTGGCAAAGTCAGCTATTGCAACCGCTGGACCAGAAAATTGTTCCAACTACTTCTTCAAATGCAGCGTTACATAATTAACCTAGAGTAAAAAATTTCGCCAGTGTAGCTGTTTTGACAGAGACACCTGTCTTACAGAGAAGGTGTTTTAACCATGGAAGAGACCTACCATTTAAACAACTTGAGCAGTGGAAAAAGTTTTTTCTGCACATCAATAAATCTAAAATCGAGGTTTGCTGAACGGCTCTTTTGTCCAAAGCATGCTTCATTAAACCTTGGATTGCCGCATAATCAAGCTTTACCATTCACTTATTTCTTAGCTCATCAACCTAATTATAGCAATTGTTAGATTTTTTAGGGCGTCAGGAATCGACCTTTTTGGAGCGAAATGAGATACAAGGGTTGCACACACACAGTCTACTGTCACAATGTATGGGACCGTCCCATGCTGTTAGGACAAACTTTTCAATAGACGCATTTAGTAGTGACGTCACGGAGCGATATTGTTAGTTCGATATTTCGAAAGTTGAAATGTGCCCCAACAAACAAACATAACCTCCAAAATGAACAATTGACGAAATAATGCTAAAACTGCCTGAAATTAAACAATTGCTCCATGGGACTTTAAAATTATGAGAGCTAGCCATTTACAAAAACGTTCGAGATCACAATCACAAGAATTGATTGTACAATAAGCTTGTAATATCAGTGACAGTCATAGAGCGAATCCCCCTACCCCCCCTGCCTAAATCCCGCAGATTCCTATATGTTCGTTTGTTGGGGTACGTTTTGACTTTAGAGATATCGAAATTAAATCGAAATGTGACGTCACGCTAAATGCGTCCATGATGCACCGTTGGCGTTCTTCACTCTTCAGTAGGAGCGCCATGAGAATAAAAGTTAAGTTGCTGCAACTTGAAGTTACTTTGCACTGTCTACCCTTATCCAGAGTTATTGGGTCCAAAACACCCTTGCCCCTGGAACTTTTGCCTGCAACATGAGCCTGGAACGACTACCATTACAGGTAAAAACAAAAGTAAAGATATCGGTTCCTCAATGACTTTGTAGAAGTTGGACAAATTATTTATTGACCACTAAAATGTAATTAAATGCAGCTAAGAGATACGAACAATCACACTAAAAAGGAAGAGAGAATGACAAGTAATTGCAAAGGAGAGAAAAAAAATAAACTTACCACTGGCATCCCAGCAAAGAAATATATCAATCTCTTTTTGAATAATTCTCTGTCAGCATTAACGATTGCTCTAAAACATTGAAACATATGTATAAAACTAAGAAAAAAATTTATGTTTGGTTCAATTATGGTTGAAGAAGTGCAATACATAGAACTGAACGTTTTTAAATTTTAAAAGACATAATTTTGCTTCTTGTGGTAAGTTTAATAAGAGTACATGAATCCCTCCACAACCTACATAACTTACATGCTTATGTGACTGTCCAGCTAAATATATTGCATGTCTGTCAATATAATCCAATATCCAATAATCCAGATGAGGGGCTTGGAAGACAAAGCACATAATTGCAGTTATAGAAATTCAAGACAAGAGATTAGAGCCTAACCGCCTCAGCTGCGTGCTACACACTCGTTATGCTTGTATTTCAACAGGTGAGATACACGAAAACGACTGGATCTCACTAAAACCACAGTAGATAAAAACAGGAAGGAAAGACGAAGAGGAAACAGAAATCCGGAACATTTCGCGTTTTTCCGTGTTGAAAAAGGAAGGATGGAAATTAAAATAAAATTGTGTGCTCAGAAGCATGTCTTTGATCAAAATTAAGTTTTGCGTGTTTTTGGTAGTTGAAGGTATGGTCTATCAGAATACCAAGCGATTTTGTCTGGAAGTCACTTGACGCGGAAAAACAGCGAATGGGATAAGTGCATTTTTTTAATAGAGGGGACACGGGATAAGTGCAACCTACCGTCACTTTAAGCCCAACTGCTGGCCTTAATTGGCCAAACTGAGCTGAAAATTTCAGAGGACGTTCATGAAGGTGTGAGACTACCACTTGTAAATTTTGAAGGTATTCAGAGCACTCTATAGGTCCGTGTAAGATCCAGAACTTTAAACTTGTTTTTTTGAAATAATAAAAACTGCACTTATGCGCCTTGCCTTCCAAGCCCTCAAATGTAATAATTATTTAAATCTAACTAGCTTATGAAAACATTAATATGTGAAATCAAAGTAAACTTAATTGAATTTTTAGACTAAAAAGATCACAATTATATTCATAAAATCACAATTAATATTTTTCTAATTCCTTATTCTGTTGTTTTTATAATTACAATTATGTGTTTTATAACTTTCAGTTTTACTGGTGGATTTAAATAATATGTATCTAATAAAACAGCACTTAATATATTTAACTACATGGTTTCACCTCTCTTGGAGGCTCCTGTGACCTTTGGAGAGTGAGCTCTCTTGTTGGGGGATGGGGGAAAGTCCACCAGGTATAGCTGGCAGGTAGTTTCCTACCCCTGGATCATCTGCAGGAAGAGTGAATTGGACTCTTGGCTGTAGGAGGTACCCAATCTAGGAGAGCGTACACAGATTGCGAAGAATGGTCCTTGGGGTTGGGTATGATGCATTTTAAAAAATTAGTATGACATGGATATACCCATTAATGGGACCCCCAGGGTTTCGTAGCACGGTGCTGTACTTCCACTAACATTTTTGCCAACAATTATTTGAATGGAAGGAAATTCTCTTCACAACTACTAAAAGTTACCTTAAAATGTGGAACTCTTTACTTTTAGGTGAAGATGTTTGAAATCATGCTAATGTCAAGTCGATAGAGGATGCTCACTATAGACTGAATTAGATACCACGAAAGAATGGTCCTCAATCAATTATTTCCTTTTTAGCCTCTCCAAATGTAAAATAATCTCATTTAGAATTTCAAACGACATTTCCCTTCACTTTTTAATTATACAACTCATACAACCTACCTTGAATCGAGTTTCTACTGTTAAGGGTATTGAAAATACAGAAAAGGATAGGTATTCACGCTGTTTTCGCACAGAACCACTTTTATCCTATGTGGAATGCAAATAGGGGTACCAAGGAAAAAGGAAGAAAAAAAATTGAAAAAAAAGGGTTGAAATTTTATTCGCCCCCATCGCTAGTATGTGCAGATTTTCTCATTTTCACGCAATTCTTGGATGCAATCACTCTTCAATGCCACATGTTCTCTGATGAAACACCGAAAAGACACTAACTAGTTACATTTAGTGAGCAAATCGCAAAAATAACATCGAGACAGCAACATGATAAGCGCAAACAAAGCAAAAAAAATGTAATGAGGACTAAGAGGAGGTTCTCTTCTCAAGCAGGGCCGACCGTCTATAAAATAAGTACCATATCTCCCTGAATCTTCCTAAGCGGTCGTGAAATTTTGTCTGCATAATCAAAAAGCAAATTTTCGCGTCGGATCGGGTAGAGCACGTAAATGCGATCCGTATTTTCTCGTGAACCCGATCCGCGTTTTCGGGGCTCACTAAACAAATAGTTAGTGCTCACCGGAGTCATCGTTGGGATCCAGACTGAACCCCGCAGAACACTGGGGGTTTGCTCGAATCCGATGCCATGGATTATGCTCATAACTAAATCCTTCATTGGAATTTCAAATATTCTTAAATTTTCCTATTATCGTATATCGTTATCCCATTTCAACTGCAAGAGGAAGTAAATAGACTGAATGGACCATGGATAAAAATGCAAGTAAGTAATTTTCTTCTTTCTTCCGAATTAAAATTAAAATAAAGAGACAAATTATGAAACTCTTTCTCTCTTCAGTTACTGTTAATGCAGCAGTAACTGCGTTATTTGAAATGTAGGAAAATAGCAGCGACAGCAGCAAGCTCAGTGTTCTCCTCCTCCTCATCGACATTCAACACTATCATCCATTGCGCTTTTCAGCGCCACAGTTAACATTTCCTTATTCATTAGGAACAGACGACAAAAAAAACAACGAATAGTTTAAAATAATTGAAATATTCTTAGCCTTGAGCAACCATTCGGTATTATCACCTAACTTCATTTATGTCATGTTTACATATATTTCCCGCTCTTTTCCGTTGGATCGATCGCTCCATCTTTTCACGACGACGGATCTCCAATGGGTGTTGCACCATCGCAATGATGACATCAGTTACATCGCATTCAACAGGATTCAAGACTAATCGATCGGATAGACGCGAAAATTCGCTTAAACAATATGTATCGTCCGACAAGTTGTTCTACGCAATTCCTAAATTTCGGTTGAAAATTTTCCGTTGGATAGATGAGAGATAGGGTAAATATAGTTGACTTACGTTTCAACCATAGTGCCATTTTGAATCATCCAAATATCACTGAGCGATCGGGCAACCAAGGATGCTGCAACAAGGACAAGGAAACCAAACTCCGGCGAAAAAACACCAGGAACAGTAATTTTCAAAATTGAGCACAACTGTCGAATAAATTCTGCATCAACGTGAGCTTTCGTTTTAGCCGGACCTTTCTGTAAAACATACCATAATAATAATCGAGCGTATAATCCATACCATAATATTTACCACAATACATACCGTAAGTTTAGTTCAACATCTTCGAGACCTTGGAATAGATAGTTACCTGCTTCATTCAATGCAGAAGTCCGTCGTTATAAGCACGTCAAGTATTGTCAGGTCGTTTCTTAATATCGAGTAATTTTTTTCATTTCGCTGAAAATTTAATGTTTTTTTTTTAATTTTTTGATTTAACTTAAAATTTAATTTTTTTTAATTTTTTAATTTTACTTTAAAATAATATTTACTTTTCATTCAAGCAAGATGGTATGTGTAACTGACTTTGGCCTGTGGCCCATCAGTAATACTTGTGCCGGTAGTGTTCCCTCTTCCGAATAAGAAAAAAAAATAATGATAATGAAAATAACCACCACCCGGCCACCTAGGGTGGACCGTTTTTGAACTTTTTTCGAAATTCCAAGACAGCTAGTGCTAAAAAGTTGCGTTTTGGCATAAAAATAACGCTCAATTTTTTTCAGAATTTTTGGACGATGTCCTGAGCCCGTCCCGACGCCATCTTTGTTCCCAAATTTTCGATTTTTTCGAGAAATTTTAAAGACTCTGTTTGAGGCACGGGAAACGCGTAGAATTAATGAAAATGCAATTTAAAATACTTTAAATATCATTTCAAGCGATACAGGTCAGGATAGGACACCCCCAACGCGCAGGGAATGCCTTAGGGGACGCAATCGTGGACCCCCGAAATCCCTTAAAAATGCGCTTAAATACAACCTATATTTTATGTTAATTTTCATTGATTCTATTTTGCTCATACTTTGTGTTATGACTAACAAAACTTATCAGTAGACTATGTCCTACTATTTTACGGCTTACGATGTGAAATTAGAGTGCAAAGGAGTGCTACAGGGATGCCATATCCCTCAGTAATGAAAAAATAACCACCGGGCTAGAATGGGCCTCTGATCTGTGGATATCACTGGAATAATGTTCCTGTCACCTGAACTGAGTACTACTTAGTACAGTATGCTCAGACTGATGGTAAGATATAATACAATTGAACACATTAGTATTTAAATCTGGCAGTGGTGGGTGGCGGTTTCCATGCGCTTCGCGGATCGGAGGGTGGGTCACGGTGCCGGTTTTTTTAAGGCGCTGAGCGCAGAAAAATTATTGTATTTGACAGTTTTTCATCAACCTTAAAACAGGTGTGCCGAGATTGAGGAGGCTAATGTATCTCACATTGTGTAAGCAAATAATATACAATAGTTTTTTTAAGTCCTTAAAAACTGTTTTTCACAATTTACACTGTTGCCATAAGCACTCAAGTACAGAACAAAAAATACACTAATTTTCTCCTGGGCTCGAGTAAATTTGGCAACAGTGTAAATTGTCAAAAATAGTTCTTAAGGGCTGAAAACATCTATTATTTTCTTACACGTTGTGAGATATATTAGTCTCCTCTACCTTGGAAGACCTCCTTTGAGGTTGATGAAATACTGTCAATTACGGTAAGTTTGCTGGGCGCAGCGCCTCAAAACTAACTGTGCCTTGATCCACCCTAGTCCCTACCCCGACCCCTGAGTCAAAAATGAAATTTTCTCGTTTAAAATAGGCTACAGGGTGTCTTCCGAAGAAATGCTTAGGTTTGGAATAATTTGGACGCATTTTAAAGGCCGGAAAACGCAGTTCTGCGGATCGACCCATTTTCTTCCCTTTTAAACCAATGTGATTTCTTCCGAAATTTTAATACAGCTTTGGGGGAATATATAGACTTCACATAATATGCTGAGACAACAGAATTATCTTTTGAGGACAAAAAGGAATGAGGAAAAGCCCGGGGAGCAAGGTTTTGAGATGGTCGCCTCAAAACGGAACACCCTCCGAGGGTAGTTAACTTCGTTCCTCTAGGATCCGCGAAGCGCATGGAAACCGCCACCCACCACTGCCAGATTTAAATACTAATGTGTTCAATTGTATTATATCTTACCATCAGTCTGAGCATACTGTACTAAGTAGTACTCAGTTCAGGTGACAGGAACATTATTCCAGTGATATCCACAGATCAGAGGCCCATTCTAGCCCGGTGGTTATTTTTTCATTACTGAGGGATATGGCATCCCTGTAGCACTCCTTTGCACTCTAATTTCACATCGTAAGCCGTAAAATAGTAGGACATAGTCTACTGATAAGTTTTGTTAGTCATAACACAAAGTATGAGCAAAATAGAATCAATGAAAATTAACATAAAATATAGGTTGTATTTAAGCGCATTTTTAAGGGATTTCGGGGGTCCACGATTGCGTCCCCTAAGGCATTCCCTGCGCGTTGGGGGTGTCCTATCCTGACCTGTATCGCTTGAAATGATATTTAAAGTATTTTAAATTGCATTTTCATTAATTCTACGCGTTTCCCGTGCCTCAAACAGAGTCTTTAAAATTTCTCGAAAAAATCGAAAATTTGGGAACAAAGATGGCGTCGGGACGGGCTCAGGACATCGTCCAAAAATTCTGAAAAAAATTGAGCGTTATTTTTATGCCAAAACGCAACTTTTTAGCACTAGCTGTCTTGGAATTTCGAAAAAAGTTCAAAAACGGTCCACCCTAGCCACCCAAACCACAAACAGCCCTCATACCTAGGAGCATTGTTTGCCCCTGTATGAGGGCTTAAAGCAACCCAGCAAAGCTGGTGACAGCAGTGAATATGAAAAATAATAATAATAATAATAATAATAATAATAATAATAATAATAATAATAATAATAATAATCCCAATTTTAAATTTTTACTTCAATTTTAAATTCAAGGACTCTCCTTTGCATTGAATTGCCGGGGGAGGACTAAATATCTGCCGGCCTCGAGCTGTGAATTGAGATACGAGAACATAATAATAATAAGTTTACTGAAAAAATCATAGCTGAAATCAATGGCATACTAAGGAGCATCATTACTAGTGGAACGTCACTCCAAGAATTGCATACACTGCTTTTCGTAGGAGCTGCGACAGTTCTGTTCCTCAATCACCAGAAAATCGATGGATTACAAGAAGGCAACGGTCGTGGCAAAAAGAATAGGAGACCAGCGTGGGAAGCCAGGATACAGAAGACAATCAAAGGCCTAAGGAAGGATACAGGCATTCTCACCGAGTACTTGAGACCACACCCAAGCAAAAAAGTCGAAAAGATGGGTAAAAAACTTTTTGAAAAGCTCAGGAGCGAGGATAATCCCACCGAAACAGATGTGTTAGATCTTCTTAAACAAAAATTACAAGTTCAAGCAGCGAAGCTAAAGAGGTACCAAAAGAGTAACATGCGCCGGGAACAAAATGAGTTATTCAAGAGAAGCCAAAGTGCATTTTACAGGAGTCTGCAGCATAAAGGAGCAGATGAAAACATAGGGCACGACAAAACGCCTAGCATTGAAATCACCAGGGATTTCTGGCAAGATATATGGAGCAAGCCAGTTAACCATAACAATAACGCAGAGTGGTTAGAGGAAGTTAAGTCCAAAGTTAACATCAAGGATGAAATGACAGAGCAAACAATAAGCGAAGCAGATGTTGAGGGAGCCCTTAAAAAGATGCTGAACTGGAAAGCCCCTGGCCCCGACAAGCTCCAAAATTTCTGGTTGAAATCCTTCAAATCAGCGCACCAGCAACTTGCTCGGTGTTTTGGAAAAATCCTTCAATGCCCGGAAGAGCTGCCAGCATTCCTAACAACTGGAATCACATTTTTAATACCCAAAACGAAGCGGTACTCAGATGACCCTGCAAAGTATCGGCCGATCACCTGTCTTCCCACAGTTTACAAGCTGTTAACGTCTGTAATTTCAGGGAAGATCTACAAACATCTTGAGCAGAATAAGTTACTAGACGAAGAGCAGAAAGGATGTCGTAAAGGCTCAAGAGGGTGCAAAGAACAACTAACAATTGATGCAGTAATTACTAAGACCGCTATCAACACAAGGGCACCTCTTTTCACAGCCTATATTGATTACCAAAAGGCATTTGATAGCATTCCCCACTCCTGGTTGCTAGAGGTCCTCGAAATTTACGGTATCAATCCGAAACTTATACAGTTCTTAGCACAGACTATGAGAAGCTGGAAAACCGAGCTCTGTCTAAACACACCCGGCCAACAGCTAAAAATAGGGACGATTGACATCAGGCAGGGGGACTCTCTGAGTCCCCTGTGGTTCTGCCTAGCCTTGAGTCCACTGACAAAGTTGCTTGGCAGTCTGAGGGTGGGGTGCAATTACGGAGATTGCAATATATCACACTTGTGGTACATGGATGATTTGAAATTGTTTTCCAGTCAGAAAGAGAACCTTCACTCGATGTTAAATATAGTAGGAGAATTCAGTAGCGACATCCAGATGAAGTTCGGGCTCGATAAGTGTAAAATAAGCAGCATAGTCAAAGGTGTTTGGTCAGCTCACGAAGGTTATGAACCTGCGGGACAAGAAGGGAAAATAGAAGGTATGCTTGAGAATGATCAGTATAAGTACCTGGGGTACTTGCAAGCGAGAGGAATCCAGCATAAAGATGCAAAACAACAAGTTTCTGATGATTATAAGCGAAGACTCAGGTCAATACTAAAATCTGAATTGTCCGCACGTAATACAGCGCTCGCGATCAATACGTATGCTACCTCACTGTTGACCTACACATTTGGCATTCTCAATTGGTCCAAAACTGAGCTCAACGCCCTGGACATTGCAACGAGGAGGGAATTCCGGAAGTATCGTGCCCATCACCCTAGAAATTGTGTTGAAAGGTTCCACTTGCCGCGAGCGGAAGGGGGCAGGGGGATCCCAAGTGCGATGCGCAGACATCATCAGCAAGTTCAAAATCTAAGGAAGTACTTTCTTGACAAAGCCAAAGAAAGCAAGTTGCATCAGGCCATCGCGCGTGCGGATAAAAACATCACGCCTCTGAATCTGAATGATCATACCTTCAACCCAGTAGAAACGCTCCCAACCACAGAACAAACAATCGG